TAAAAGCCGCAAAGAAGACCTTCTTTGCAGCCACTATTGCGTCTGCAAAGAACCGTCCGGCTGAACTGTTCCGAGTTGTCAGAGGCCTTTTAAAACCCACCACTCAGGATGGGAGCCCTGGTGACTCGGCAGCTCGCTGTGAAGCCTTTGCTCAGTTCTTTGCAGACAAAGTCGCTTTGATCTGCTCTGGTCTGGATACCATATTAACGGCAGTCTCTGAGGATGTAACACGAGCATCTGCTTGTCCAGTTTTGATGGATTCATTTCAATTGGTGAAACCCGAGGATGTGGACAAGGTGCTTGGAGGAATGAGGGCAACCACATGCATCCTAGACCCCTGCCCATCCTGGCTTCTAAAGGAGGCCAGAGGGGGATTGGCCGAGTGGGTGAAGGTGGTGGTTAATGCCTCCCTTCGGGAAGGCAAAATTCCAGCCAGCTTAAAACAAGCTGTAATAAAACCGCTGTTGAAAAAACCATCACTGGACCCCACTCAATTCGTCAACTATCGGCCTGTTTCCAATCTCCCCTTTTTGGGCAAAGTCCTGGAACGTGTGGTGGCCTCACAACTCCAAGCATTCTTGGTAGACACTGATTATCTGGATCCGGCACAGTCTGGCTTTAGGCCGGGGACATGGTACCGAGACAGCCTTGGTCGCCTTAGTGGATGATCTGCGCCGGGAGCTCGACAGGGGGAGTGTGTCCCTGTTGGTGCTGCTGGACCTCTCAGCGGCCTTCGATACCGTCGACCACGGTATCCTTCTGTTTTACAGTGGCTCCGGTCATTCCTAGAGGGCCGGTCTCAGAAGGTGTTACTGGGGGACACCTGTTCAACTCCACAACCTTTGTCTTGTGGGGTTCCTCAGGGCTCAATACTGTCTCCCATGTTGTTTAACATCTACATGAAGCCGCTGGGGGAGATCATCCGGAGTTTCGGAGTGCGATGTCATCTGTACGCGGATGATGTCCAACTCTGTCACTCCTTTCCACCTGCTACTAAGGAGGCTGTCCAGGTCCTGAACCGGTGCTTGGCCGCTGTGACGGTCTGGATGAGGGCGAACAAATTGAAACTGAATCCAGACAAGACAGAGGTACTCCTGGTTAGTCGCAAGGCCGAACAGGGTATAGGGTTACAGCCTGTGTTGGATGGGGTCGCACTCCCCCTGAAGACGCAGGTTCGCAGCTTGGGTGTGATCCTGGACTCATCGCTGAGCCTGGAACCCCAGGTTTCGGTGGTGACCAGGGGAGCATTCGCACAGTTAAAGCTCGTGCGCCAGCTGCGCCTGTACCTTGGGAAGTCTGACTTGGCCACGGTAGTCCACGCTCTGGTTACATCCTGTTTAGACTACTGCAACGCTCTCTACGTGGGGTTGCCTTTGAAGACGGCTCGGAAGCTCCAACTAGTCCAACGCTCGGCAGCCATGATACTAACAGGAGCGGAGCGCAGGGAGCATACAACTCCTCTGCTGCACCAGCTCCACTGGCTGCCAATTTGCTACCGGGCTCAATTCAAAGTGCTGGCGTTGGCCTATAAAGCCCTAAACGGTTCTGGCCCAAGCTACCTATCCGAACGTATCTCTGCCTATGAACCCACCAGGACTCTAAGATCTTCTGGGGAGGCCCTGCTCTCGATCCCGCCTGCATCATAAGCACGGCTGGCGGGGACGAGGAGCAGGGCCTTCTCTGTGGTGGCCCCTCGGCTGTGGAACGCCCTTCTCATGGACATTAGATCAGCTCCTTCGTTAATGGTCTTTCGAAGAAAACGAAAAACCTGGCTGTTTGAACAGGCATTCGGATAAACAGTGCAATGAATATGATGAATATAGGAACGGAATTATGGATGACAAATTGGATCACGACTCTAGTTATGAGACGTTAATGTGTTGTTATTGATGTGTCATTACTTTGTATACTATGCTGTTAATGGTTTTTAAATTGTATGTTGTTATGACTTTTTGCTCTTGTGAACCGCGTTGAGTCGCCTACGGGCTGAGAAACTGCGGTATACAAGCAAAGTAAATAAATAAAAAAAAATCATTTTTCTGAGCTTGCAACATTTGTGGCTGGATGCAGAAAACCAGCAAATGCAACTTTATCCATTATAGAAACACTAAACAGAGGAGATAACAGCCAGCCAGATATGAATACCCTCCAAGGACCAAGTCAATCACTTCCATGCATCGAGATCAGTGCCATTCTGAGCCTTGTGAGTTGCTGATGGAGGCTGTTATTTAATGCAGGCTCTTCCATGGCTGGCTCCTTTGTCCGTTCCTCAGGGAGAAACGGGAACACTCACTTTTCACAGATAACCTTGGATTCCTCTTCAAAAGCCAAACTCGGCCTCTTCCTTGGGTCACATTCACTCCTACTTACCAAGTAGAAAGATGTTAATTGGTAGTTTTGTATGATCAGATTTCTTGCCAGGAAGAAGTAAGTGGATTATGTGGAGTTTAGTTTCTGCTGTATACCATTTTTATTCAGATCAAAATTAGGCACTTTTCTTTAGAATTTATGTTCTACTGCTAGGACTAAATAATTACGATATGTTTTCTATCTTATGTGTGAATAGTATCTCCTCACCTCAATCCCCATCTGGATAGGATAACGTTGGCTCCTGTGCTTGTTTCTTGACTACTTCCTAAAATGAAAAGTATAACTCCAAAATAAATGCATATGTGTAAACAAACACAACGCTCCGCAGCAATCTCCAACTAAAAATATCTTGAAAAAAGCAAGCCAGAATGAAATCAGAGTAAGCAGCAAATAAGACACAGAAGGAAGGCTGGCACAGCGGAAGCTCCTGGATATCAAATTCCTTGGACAACCTTGCTGTCAACAGCAGTAGCGGAAAGAGATATCAGGATGTAGTTCAGTCATACTCTCCAGAACTGCCATTAAGTCTAAAGAGGACGATAATGACACTTAATGACACTTGTCAATGCTACCAGAAATAAAACTGCTCGGGGATGTGGATTTTAACAGTGCTGCAGGTGGTCCTAGATTTACTGGTATGTCACAAGGAAACAAGACCATGGTAATTGGTCACATAACATAAGTTATCCACTATTCCATGGGATGGCTCCTTGGGATGCTTATTGTAATTTTGAAACATATCTTCCTGTGATCTAGAACCTGCATTAGAAGCACTTCAATTTAGAATGGAAGGATAAAAGTAATTTTTGGTCCTCCTGATGTTTTGAACTTTGAATCCCAGCATTATAAGCTAGCATAGCCAAAGGTTGGAAGTTCTAAACATATGGAGGACCAAAATCTGAGACCCACTAAAGTTACGAGTTGCACAATGTCTTGTGTTGTTGTGTTCTACCTGTTTACTGTTGCTTCAGATGGCCAGGCCAGGGGTGGGGGAATAAGGCTATCAATCCATTGTATCAAGAAAAAGGACTTCATAAGTGTTTCAGTTTTTTAAAAACCCTGTTGTGTAGATTTTATATGAATGAACCTGTCTTGTACAACATTGTTTGTGTGTGGGGAGGCGTTGTCTTCTAATTTTGTCCCTTCTGTTGTGATTGATGAGGGCTATTTGATTCCTAGGTGTGGCATTTTTCCAGCTTTGTTGTCTGAAATCCCTCAACCAGAGATTCTGGGAGACTGAACCTGGGACATTTCTTAGATGAAGCCTTTATTCTAATATGCAATTACAGGGAAAATGCAGAATAGTGGTAAAGCTTTAAGTCCTTCATAAAGGTTTCATATTCAGTCCTGTGGCATCATTAATTATAGGAATCGGAGGTAAATGGTAATTGGTAGTATTACCTAGAAGGACCTAGGTGGAGCCATCTACAAGCCTAGGTCTTGCTCTTCTTTGGGAATTTGGCACTTTCTTCCTGTCCAAAATGTCCTCTATAATGCAGACTTTAACCTTGTGGCCTACATATCTTCTGACTCTAATTCCTGTTTCTTTATCATATGATGAGCAAGTCAGTTCCCTTCTCCTCTTCCTCAGCTATCAGCAAATATTCTACTGTCTGCAACATCTCATAGATCAGGGGACTGTAAGTTGATCTACTCACATTTGTATGTTTTCAAACTGCTAGGTTGGAAGAAGCTAGGGCTGACAGTGGAAGCTCATGCCGCTCCTCGGATTCAAACCTGTGACCTTGTGGTCAACAAGCTCAGCAGCTTAACCCACTGCGCCACCGGGGGCCTACTAGTATCTTATCTTGGATATCAGAGAGTTGTTCAAAGCAAGCTCTGGCCAGTCAGCAGGATTGATGACGCTTGGGCTTAAGACCTAAGGCTTCAAACAACTCAGTCCTGAACTCAGTGATGAACAGCACCTCTTAATCCAAAGTAATTTTTTTGGGGGGGAAATAGACACTCACCATTTGGCTGCTTTTGAGTAAGTTGTATGGAAGACAAAATGCAAATCTGACAAACATTCCGGCAGGCTGATAAATTCTTTTAAAAAGTAGAGGATTGTCCTTTTCCTTTCTTATTTGGTCGAAGAAGTAAATATGTTCTTATGAAATGCAATATTTCTACTTCCAAGAGAAAAATGATGTTCCAAACTGATTATCTTTTTATATCATAAAGGGAGTCTGGCAGTGTACGGAAGGAGGGAATTATATATACTTACCTATCTTTTTCAATTGTGACAAAATCTGATTACCTTGAATTTAAAACTGTGACTTGCCTCTGTCATTTCATGACTGTAAAATAACAAACAGGAATTCACTACCAAGTGCACCTGGAAAATCCTAGTACCCCAAAGAGTGTGCATTAATCTTTGTTGCACTAAGATAGCACATTTTTAGGGATGCGCTTCAATAACATCTAAGCATCATTAGTTAAATCACATCTAAGCATCACTGATTTCAATGACAGAGTAATGTATTCATGTTTGGACCTTTTCCACTGAAATCAATGGGATTTAAAAGCTGTGTTGGATCATGCCTATAATGTGTACAGAAGCCTTAAAGGGCAGGGCAGCATGCTTTGCATTTTAAAACCATTTCAAAAATAAAACAGAACCAGCCAAAAGCTCTTCTTTCTCTTTTATTGATACTGCCAATGTGACTACCTTTACACAGGTAGATTGCTGTCCTACACAACATGCACTCTTTTAGGATTAATTTGAAATTGACTCTTCTTTTTTTCCTCTACACCTCCTAAAATTATCAAATGAACACAAAAGTTGGACCTTAATCAATTTCCACATCTTCCTTTTAAGCCATTACATTGACTCCTTTCCCCTCACTGACTGTGTAAAGGTTACTTGGCAATAGTACATGCATATGACAATAAAATGGAGACCAATCCACCACTAAAAAGTAATGCACATAATAACATAATACAGTACTTTGACATTTCAAATAAATACCCACATAGAGATGTAATTTAAATGTAACCATGAGTCAATACTGTAACCAAGATGATGAAAATATAAGTCCCCACCTTCTAGGAATAATAAAGTTTCTTCCAGCAAACAGAAAGCTTTTTCCCCATGACATTATTATCAAAATTTCTACTTTTTTATTTTAGAGGAAGGTGATCTCCACCCTCCCACCAAGAAGTACCAAATTCAATCATTCAGACTTTGGCCTCAACAATTAGCACCAGCAGGTACACCTTGTTGATGCACACCTGTGTTTCTGTTTCCTGAAATCACATTGGATTAGATATAACATGCAAGAGAAAAATATTAAATGTCTCCTTTTTCATCTTCACATTTGCAAACAATACTATGGTTAACTGGATCCACCACCATACATATCTACCAGAACACCAATATTTCCAAAACACCCTCTGTACTGCAACCACAAATGTGTTAATACATCTTGCTTATTATTTTATTCAACAACATCCATATTTTGGTTTGCAATGTATATTCTGGTTTTGCTTCTTGTGTTTGCTTGTCTGCTTCTTTTTTCTTCTGTGCCCCTGAATTTGCATGATGAAGTATCATTGACTAACAGAATTTTTTACAATTTTGCGCATATCTCACCTCTCTAGCGGGTCTAGCCGTTACAAAATGTGTCGAAGGGGAGTTTGCTTTGCACTTATTGCTCCACATCACCTCTAAGTTCCCAAACCACGTCTTGGACAGACTAAGCTAGCCTAAGCTCCTCCCTTTGAAATTATGAAAGGCACTACTGGCAACAATTAAATGACAAAAAAGGCGCTGAAATCGAACACCCTAGCACTGATAACTTTAGAATTTTTCCTTCTAAAATGTACCACAATTTGGCACAATAAAAAAGTAGTAACAAAAACCAATTCCAATTTGGAATTTCAGTGGTATAGTTGTATAAAATTCTGTTAATCAATCATACGCCATAAGATTTTCCTAAAACCCAGACATTCTGGAATTTATAGGTAACACTAATATTTATTTTCAAGTGCCTATAACTGTTTTAAACCAGAGCAAAGTCAAGTTTTCTTCTTGTTACATTGAACTATTCCTAAGAATAATAATACAATATGAAAAAACCCCAGAATTTGAATACCCTGGATTTCTCAATTAACATGGCAGTTAAAAATCAGTAATTTCAAACAGATAAAGCTTAATATTTTATAATTAAAAAAGGAAAGGAAAAAAGATGCTGATGCACAGCACATATATAGTTTAGCAGAAATCCTGGTTTGCACTGAAGCTCTTTTTCTAAACATGATGCAGAGAAAAATAGCAATAATAAAACTCTGCGATATGCAGAGGGGAGAACATCAAGCAGAAGCCTCAGATGGAGACAGCCTATAAACATAAGTCACTGGATTTTATTCTTTAATATAAACTCTTCTACAAAAAGAATAAAAAGACGTCAAAGTAAATATCAAAATATTAAAAGTGCACAGGTTTAAACAATCACTGTTGTTTTCTTAAAATAAAAAAACACTCTATAATGAAATAAAAGGGAGGGGGGAGATACCAACCAGAACATTTCTAATAAGCCATAAGCTACCATGGCAATTATTACATGTTGAAGTAGGTTTCTTCAGCATTTGTAAGTTTTCTTCCTGCAGCAGCATTTAAAAAGGATAAAGCTTTGTTTGTATTGATACATAATGTGTCAAAAAACAAAAGGAGAACCAAAAAACTACAAACAGGGATTGCAAATTGAAAGTTACGTGGTTTTGTTTGAGGAAAAGGGTTGGGGGGAAGGTTCATTATCAGTGGTTTCCATTCTTTGTGCCACAGGCTAAGAAGGGACGAAGTTGCACTGGCCTTCTCCGGGGACTACTCTACAGCTGGAAAGTGAAAAGTAAAAAAACACAAAAGTGAACACATTAGAACTGGGCGGGATTTCTTTTCTTTTTCAGTTCAAGAAAGGAAAACAAGAACACACACATGCACACACAAAAGTGTGCTGCAAGAGGTCCCTTAGTACAGGAGTCTGATGAGGGGAGGGGGCATCGGTTAGTTTTTGTAAAGGGGGGAAAAGCAGCCAATGTAGCTCATGGGTGCTTTTCAAAAGCATCTGGAACAATGCTTTGACGCACGGCCTGTTAGCAAAAGCTGTGCAGGAAGAAAAAGTGTCTTACAAGTCCTGAATCAAGCTACGCTGCTCAAGCAGAAGTAAACGGCAGTGAGTAGGAAAGAGATCTTGCAGGAGCCTCTCCAGAAACATGCAGGTCAGTCATGCCAGCCATGGTAGAGGTCAGTAAAATCATTCAGGAAAACCGTTCCACTCGCAGAGGTAAGTGATGGCTTAGTGGGTTTTCCATGTTGGATCGCCAACTCAATGAAAGCAAAAATGAGAACATTATAGCAAAAGTTAGTTTAGGAAGCTAGTCAGTCAGCCGGTGCAACAAGCCTGTCCAGACAGCCTGTCTTAAGTTTATATACAACAGTATATCACCTTTGGGGAGTCTTCAGAATTTCCTTTGCTAGTTGTGTTTAAAACCAGCCAACCTCTACAGCTGACCAGTGGATAAGTGCTGCAGGGCTTGCTACTTAGCTATTATAGGTTGGAGCACCATTTTTGATCTGGAGCGACCAAAAATGGTGCAAGTCTGAAGGCTCTCTATGTGTTTGTGTGTAGAACAGAGGTTGAGATAACAACAGAAAGTAATAAGTTTGCTCAAATCTCCGCCTTTTCAATAACTCAACACAGAACATAACAGTAAATATGTTATAACCAGCGAAGTGAACTGACACATGTACAACACTGAAATGTCCTTATTTCCTTTCAGTTACCTGGAAAGCCTGCCAAAGCAATTGATTTCTTTCAAATATCCTTCCCTGGTGTGTGTTGCGTCACAAAGCCCATCAGAGGAAAGGATACCTTTAGCATTTTAAGCAACAACCCCCTGTCAACGTGGAAGCAAAAGAGTTTGCTGCTTCTAACAGAGAAAAGTAGTGTATTAATCTAAATGCCTAGTTATTCTCAAGGCATTTTGTAAAAATAAAAATGGTAAGATAGTAGGGTGGAGAAGGCCTTCTGGATTATTGTGCATTAAAAAGGAGAAAAGCAGGATCAACTCTTTTGTTAAAAGGTATGTTTCTAAAACTACCAAAACCTGCCAAATACCAATATTAAAGCTCAGATTCAAGAGAATACAGTGTTTTCTGCAAATGTCGTAATAAAGCGAGGCATGTTGTGCTGTCAATCAGTCATCAACCAACTGAAAAAACAGACCATTCACATTTGCTGACCCTCCACTTTCTGTATTAAACCGGACCATTCCTAGGGTTTTATTTCTCTAATTTCTAGATACCAGATTTTCTACTTTAGAAATTTTCAATCTGATTTCAATTCTTTCATATTTGTATTGTTGTCATTGTGAACAGTTTTTGTTCCTAGTCTCATAGGTCCCGTTCTCACTTAGCTTCCTTTTGCTCCGAAAGCAGGCAGCACGTCTCCTTATTAGACTTACAGTAAAATTGCTGTATCTCCTAACTACTTTATAGGCAGAGTGGCAAGAGAGAAGAAGCAAGCTGCTGATCATCTAAAAGGAAGAGTAATATGAGACGAGGCAGTACAACACCAAGATTATTATTAGCATGGCTTTAGGGCAGGGGAAAATATTACTACTATCTGAAGACACAGCTGTGCAGTCCTGCATGACTTCTTAGTAATAATATTCTAAGCATACAAAGGTCTTTGAAAAGAGTACAAAATGAACAGGGCTTTACATTAAAATAATGTTTGAGGCTAGGCACTTTTGATTCCTTTTGTTTCTTCTTTCGTTTTTTTAAAATGTGCCTTATTGTGCTCCTTAAATTTATCACAATTTCAAAAGCAACATTTCCCCCCAGTCTTGTAGCATTCTATAGGCACCAATTATGAAGTACACTTTTTTCAAAAAAATTATCGAACATATTGAAATTAAGTGGCTAAAAGGCCTCTTAAATGTTCAATAGTGGACAACTTTTTTGTGAAACAGATTAATCTGTATATGCTATTCTACTTCGTAATTATGCATTAGCAAGAAACAGATCACTTAATTTCTGGTGCCTAGAATGTAGAGCCCTGTAAAATGTGTGCTTGCATAAGAAATGCAATGTCTTTTTACTTAAAAAAATCTCAGAGCTCTACAACACTAACCTATTAAGAGTTAATACTGACAGTTAAGTACAGCTGCATTGCAACTTGACAATACTAGAACATACTTCTATTAATTTTATACATGTATACTGTGCAGTTACAGTAATAAAGGGCATGAGCTTAAGCACTTTAAAAATTCCATTGATTGCAGTGGGAGAAAACAACACTTGTTTAACTTTCCCACCAAAATCAAGGAGATTTTTTAATAAATTTAACTTTGGCTATATGATGCCCACTGTGCAATACACCCTTCTGATGTATTACACTGTTAGAAGCAACAACATGATACTACAGAAACATTTGTAGTATATGTACTTCCTCCCAACATAATGGCTCTGAAGATTCGAATTTTGTTTTCTTTTAGCATTATGTTTGTTTCGGGACATGCAATATTGCATATCTCATTGATTATTATTTTTGTAAGTGTGCAATTTTCTCTCTGATATTAAGCATGGGCTGCAAACAGAGGGCTTGAGAAGATATCCTTCCAATTAGGCTGTTCCAGCATTTATAGCTTACAAGAAAGCTTTTTGCAATTAGTAAGTGGTGATTGCGAGAGCAACTAACAGCCACAGCAGGTTGGTTTCTTCATATTACATATCTAATTTTCAAGGATGCATTTCGCCACGTCTCAAACATTTTGAACACAAAGGTTTTGTCAGAGGCGCTCTCTCCATGATGTGAAGAAGACCTGTCACCCGGGGAAAAGGACCACATTTGTGCTTTGCAAGCTACAATTAGTAACACCTGGTGCAGCATACCTGGGATGCACCTTTAACACTTATCAACCAACAGCAAAATCCAAGTTGTTCATGGTAGAGAGAGCCAAGTGCTTCTCCACCATTAAACTTGTTGCCAGCATCTCCCCTCCCCATGCTTGTGAACCAGGTACAGTTAAGACCACTATAATACAACCTGTATTACATGGTTTAACAACATACTAGTACAAATCCACTCATCACTGCAACATTAATATAGTGGGGATTTATGCTGACATTCAACAGCACAAACATCAGATGCATATATATGGCCTCCTATTTGCCTTCTCAATCACAATATATCTTATATTTCTCACTGCAAAACACCTGGTTGTTGTTAAGCACAGACCCTTCCGACCTGTCTCCGCATGACCGTATATGACTTACGCTGGGGTTACTACTCTTGGCTTTGGAAGCAGATTTTGTGCGCACCCGTTTGGACTGCTCGTGGTCCAGCTCAAGATGCTCAAGGCGCTGGGTCAAAGCCAGCTTTTGCTGAATGGCCATACGGAGCAAGGAGTTCAACGTCTTCTTCTCATCTTCAGCTGCAGCAAGCTGGCGTTGCATTTCATCCAACTGGGTGACATACTCATCGCATCTGCAATTAAAAGTATTTGACCATCAGTATCCAAGAATTATTTCATAGGTTTCTTTTAATTGAACTGATTTCTACAGGGGCAGCTTGTAGATCTCTTGAAAATAGCTATCCAGGTGCTTCTGGCTTATGTTTTACAGCAGAACATACAGCTTCCAGACTTGCAGAAGCAGAACTTGAAATACTTCCTTTTTGACAATACTGGCTATACTGGCTAGAGGACTCTGGGAGTGATAATCCAGAAAGTATCTTTTCCAAGCTCTGTGCAGAAGTAGTTGCAAATAATCACTTCCAAAATCCTTGTGTTTAGTGGGCTTAGGAGATTTGGACAATTTTACAATACAGTAAAATTCACATAAACTCACTCCCAAATAAATGAACCAACATACTGGGAGTGTGGTGTATCTTTCAACCACAAGGTAAAATTATCCAAGTTGATTTCACTATTGCACTGTGCCTTCAAAACTCCAATGTATGTGCAAGAAAATCCGCTAATTTCTTAAGGTTTTCTTACACTACTTACGGCTAATTTCAATGTTTAGCTCCCAATAAGAGATTGTTCATGCTTTTCTTTAGCTCTGTACTCTGAATCACAAAGGACCTGAAATTTTTTTCTCAATAGGATGGAGCCATGACATTTAAAAAGGAACCACAGTGCTTTAATTGTGTAATATGAAAGCGTATCTGGCCAGGATGAGCCGACAGAACTCTGTAACTACTAGATTGTATATACAGTATAATTCCCACATTTGCAGAGGATACAATTCTGGACTTTATGTTGATACACAAAACTACAGATAATAACAAACCCTATTGAAATTGAGGATTTCTGTCCCATGGCCATTAGAGAGTTGTGCTGGAGAGCACAGAAAATGCCTAAAGAGGACCTATTTTGTTGAATCACAGATATCAGTCTCACAGATATGGAGATTGTAATGTATTTTCAAAAGTAGAGGACAACTCTCTTTTGTATCTTCATCCCAATGCATGCTTTAGTCTCCCTGGCACTTAACAAGGCTAAACCTATACGCACAATATCGGGCAGGACATTGCACCCAAATCTTGCAGTTCATTACATGCTTTAAATGGATTGTATATATAGATAGATCTGTTTATTGAAAGTTTCTCTCACAGAAATCCCTTTGTCATGGTGATGAATTTATCTAAATTCTCCAACTGACTCTTTTACACAAGTTTTAGCAAAGTGATTAGTGTCTATTTGGTTTTGTCTTTTACTGTTGATATGATCAGTGGACTAATCAATAAACAGATCTATCCATACTTTCAATCCATTTGAAGCATGTCATGAACTGCAAAATATCTACATGCATGCATGCATGTGCACACACACACTATCTATAACATCCAATATGAAATGTCATGGAGAAAAGAAAAAAAATCATAACTTTATGACATGTTTAGTAGACCTTGAAAAAAGCCCTATCATCATGACCTGGCTTTGAGGGGGTTTTCTAATGGACTTAGATGGCCATCAATATAACAGGTGAAGTCAAAATGTGTACTATTGAAGTTTAGATTCTTGCTTCTACCAAAGCATTTCATTCTGAAAGTGACTGCACATCTCAAAATGGGGTCGTTTTTGTATAGAAAGATGGGTTTTCTTTCTCTGCATACATTGCCTTCTATTCACCCTGAGGACCTAAGGAACAAAGCTGTCAGATCATAGCTATCATTTAACTGTGCTCTGCTCAACCTCATTAACTGGTGGAGGACATTGTAATTAATGTTCATTGGCTTTTCCTTGCCAGAAGGTATGATTACTATATTCTATGGAAACACAGAAAAGTTATATAAGAAGGGCACGTTGAGTCATTCCAAGGCTTGTTACAGATCTTACCAATTGTTTTGCAGCATATCCTGCAATAACTGAAGACAGATCCATCTTTGATTTACATATACATATAAAAAGGGAATTCACAACACACAGTACACCAAGGAGGCCATATTTCACAAGAGGTTGTTATTTTATAGCATCAAGATAGATGATAGTCTCAAATAACATGGTGGACTCCCATCAACATTCTCCACCAAAATTGGTGTTTGTACAGAAAATCTATTAGCAAAGCTATTTTTAAAATGTTACCAGCATGCAAACTATTTAACACACAGCTTGTTTCCAAAAGCTGGATTCTGCATAATCCAGGCTTTTGAGAATATTGGTTTAGCACTTTATGCATAGTAATATGCATATGCAATCCATTAAAAATAGTTCAAAAGTCGTTAGTGAAAATTTGTTAATGAGATTAACAACATTTTGTTATTATTTTGTTATAGTAATTGCACATAATTACTATAATTGGGGAAACTTCAGGGGCTTCTTTCTCCCTCATTTTTACAGCTAATCTGGTGAAACTCGTTACAATCATAGAACACATTTACCACTCATAGCCCACCAAATTTCAGAATGTTCAACTTATCCATGGAGTTTTGGAGAAGGTTTTATAAACAGCATTTTAAAATAATAAAAATATGTTCCTAATTTGACAGTATTATTTCCTGTTTAATTGTGTAGTCCTTACTTTGAAAGTAGTGGTTCTACTCGGGGAACTTTGTTTTGGTGGCAAAAACTTTGTTAAATGAATGAATGGCTATGGAGGACTGGATAACAAACTGTACTATAGCACAATGTCCCTCATGCAAAGACAAAGGTTTTGCAGATTAATAAACATTCACCATGTTTTTATGATAGACCCAATTAGGAAATGACATGTATAACCCAGGAACAAAAACCAGCGTACAGAAAGCATCAAACACCCCCGAGAGATGGCAACCCAGCCTAACAACAACAACATGTTCCTAGTTTGGAAGCGTTATCTCCTGTTGTGTAACCCTTTATTTGAAAGTAGGAGTTCTACTCCAGGAGCTTTGTTTTTGCGCCAAATACTTTGTTAAATCGCTGGGTAATGATGTCAAATTGGTGGACTGGATAGTATACTACAGCAAAATGTGTTATAACACAATGCCCCTCATGGAAAGACTTTTTGCAGTTTAATAAACTTTCACCATGTTTTTATGATAGAACTAATTAGAAAATGACATTTATAACCCAGGAACAAAAATCATAGTGTAGAATATTAAATTTATTGTAACCCTGGCTGGATGCGGAAGGACAAATCTCTCTGATGCTGAGCAATGCACTGCATTCTGGGAAATGTAGTTTAGGGAAGGCCTTTTGAATTCTCTGTCATAGGGCTCCTCCCTTCCCAAACTACTTTCCCCAGAGTTCTGTGTTGTTCACTGCAAACACTGTTCCCTCTTTTTCCCGTTAATTTCTCCATTAATTTACAGAGGAATGGAAGCTTTTTTCACTTTGCTTAATTGCTTTCCATGAAAATGACGATCAAGATCTTGGGAGGGAGCGTTCTGAGATTTACAAAATACAAATGAAAATGTTTTAGGTAGGTTTTGATTCTGAAGTCTTTGGGGTGGGCCACACAAACGCTTCGGATTTGGCTTCCAACTTATAAAACTTTCAAATTTCTTCTGATTTCTGAAACTTTAGAAATTTTTGCACAAGCCTAATAGCTAGTATATAGAAAAAAATCTAACTCAAAATTTCTTCTTATAGTAGGAGTAAAGGCAATTTATTAATCTGTTCCACCATTACAGAAACAGAATACATTATAATAATGAAGCATTCATTGGGTTGTACAGGCAATTACTAGTTAATCTTTACTCTTATACATTAAAAAAATAAATGTTGGACAACCGCTTTGATATCAAGTAAGGTCTTATCTTCAAGGATTAAAGGGGATTTTGAAATATGTCATTAATTTATCATGTTTTATATAAGAAATGCAGAAAAAATATTAAGGTTTGTTTTTGGAGAAGGCTTAATATATTAGGAGAAGTAGAAACACTGAGGGCAGGTCAAAGCTTAAAAAATTGGCAGTGACCATTTCATTCTTTTTGGAAATATGCCAGAAATAAATATGTTAGTGATTATATCACTGTTTCAAAAGTAGAACAAAATTAGCCTGGCTTATTTTAAGTGTCACTTACCATTTCTCTGCATACTGCAATTTAAATATTCTGTAATTCTATAGCATACTAGCTAAAATGGTTAATTAATCCCAGGGTATTTTCCAGTCTGCATTTCATTAGGACATCGCACAAGGCATGATTGTTACTTGAAAGGGGCATATTCCATTAATTATTCCCATCTAGCCTTTGAAGTTTCACTCATGCTCAATGTGGCAACTTACAGCTGGTTTGTTTAAAATGGAGTCACGTGTTAATAAAATGGGACAAACCAATTCAATTGAAGCAGTATCTTGGGCATGATATCATGCACACCTTAACGTGAAAAATACCCACTTTCAAAGCCAAACGTGGATTCCACTTTTGGTTTGGATTTTTTTAACATTTATCAAAATCTGTGCAACTCTGGGATGACAACAGTAGGTTGAGATTGGCCCCAGAGAAACATTAAATCAGTCCCCAAACCTACTGAACTTGCCTCTCCTTTGTCTAATGCTTTCCTTATCTGCTTTTCCTGCTGTAGAACAGGCAAAGCAACTGAAGCTACATGGTAGTTTTCAGGCATGTTGACTTTGCTGTCATGAAATCTCCCCACTTCTCTCCCAAACAGCTTGTTTTGCACTGTGCTGTAGGGTAAGGAGCAGAGATCACCAAGTAGCTGTCTTGGACAATTCTCACCCATCTCTGGAGGTTAAAAGGTGGGAAGGTTAAAAGGCCTGGCTGCTATTTACACCTGCACAAGTACAGTGTGACAGTTCTGGCGATGAACAGATCTGTTAAAACCTAGTTGACAGTTGAGTAAATATGCTGCTAATAACTTGTCTTATTGATGATATGAATACACACCAATCTGGGTAGAATAATCTGATCAGCCAACATTCCTGCATTCAAATAACAAAATTATATGTAAGGTGCATGTAAATCATCTATGACCATATAACTTTGTTGATTTGGGTCATCAGTTATATCTCCCCCCCCCCCCCCCCCCCCCCCACATAAATCTTATTATATTTAAACCCAGACAGCAAAGTCAGAATTTGCTTCTTTGTTTCCAGGAAGATATGGATCCAAAGTAAAGATGTGGAAATTAATAGAAATTATCGAGTTAACAATTTTGATGAATGATAAATCATTGGAGACATTCTTAAAAGAATGGAATCTTTTGTATCAATATATATCTGAGAGAGATGAAAAGACGTTTTGCACAGATTTGGAGATATAAAATGTTGGGGTATTCATTTCTTAATGTACAAACAATCAGAAGTCCGTAACTTGCCAGATATAGGGTGGAAGAAAAAAGTGTAACAATAGAGAAACCAAGTAAAGGGAAGCAAGAAATTCTCTTTTAAAACTAATGTATATATGTATGTTTGTATTTTAAAGCTACCTGCGATTAGAGCAGAAATGCTGATAAGAGAAATTGTGTAGTTAGTTATGTAATTGTTGTTCAGGTATGTTCATTAGAAAGCTTTTGTCCTGGAAAGACTGACTGCCTTTCCAAGAAAAGCCTATTCAGCTCACCAAGATGGGGAAACATGGGCATGGTGTGAAACACATTCTGGCATTGAGGAATGGGGATTTCCCATTGAAAATTTATCTTTGTAGATTTCATTACACGTTACTCTACGGGAGAAATAGAAAGAACCCTAATACTGACAGATGTTAGTGCAACACTCAAGCTACAGAAGAGGGAAGGTAGAAAACCTGCAACTGCATCGCCGAAAGAACTCAAGGAAATGGCAGCTGTGATTTTCAATTTCTGATTTACTCTGAAAGTAACTCTAAGATAAAGAATAAAAAAATCCTATATTAAATAGCAACAGAAATTTTAGGTGTTTCTCACACAAGAAAAAGAGGCAAGCAGTGTCTTCAAGGTTCACTAAGTTGTTTTCCTCCCTACACCCTATGCTTCCCATGGCAATTGTGAAAATTATGGAAGTTTGACATGTAGACTTCCTAGTTATGACAGTCATAATTAACATCTGTCCAGCCCCTCTCGCAAAAGAGTCACTTCATTGTTTTGTTTTATGTTAGTCCGTGAGTCTCAAATTTCTTACCTACAGATTATATTTCCAGAATAATTTCTCATAACACGTATTTTTCAGATGAATGGCATGGGAAAAAAACAGTCTTCTCTATTCTCATGATACTTTGTACCCATAATGTTGACATTATAAAGGAAGCTTATTACAGGTAAAGATTTGCAAGATGCAGACAAGGAACTGACAATCTTTTATGACCTGATATAAATAATCGCATATCCCCCAACAATGGAACATGCAAGAATAAGAGAAACAAACTTTCACACATTGTTACACAATAATTTAACTACTAAACTAAATAACAAGGTAGACACATTCTTTTGTAGTTAATTGTTGTTAACCTCGCTTGAGCACATGGGAGCTGTATGCATCAGTACCTCCAAGACACATTTTCTTTATACTGTCAGTTGCCATCCACTCTTAGCATTTGCCCTCCAAAATATTAAAGGTTGTGTATGATTAATCACTGCTGAATTATAGCTTCTTCTTCATAATGCTTTAAATCAGGGATCAGAAACATCTGACTATCCAGATGTTATTGGACTATGATTTACATAATCCACCACTATTTGCAATGACAGCTGGGGATGAGAAGAAGGGAACACATTCTAGGTGCACTGTGAAAATTGTCACTTTATAGCTTCTTTAATGTAAAGAATTCCACATTCAGGTAGCAACATTGATTGCCATGACTAATTCCTTCTTGTTATGAAGAACACACATATTTAACTTGGAAATTTCATGTGTATATAGTATATAAAATTTATGCAGTTAAACAGAATGTTCATCATGTTTTTTGAACCAGTAAACTTGCACTTTAATGTGCAAAGTAAACTCTCTCACACACACTGACTCAAACACACAAGACTGAGTAACTACTCTATCTTTACCTTTCCAAATCTGATAATGCAACACCTTAAGTTTCATTTGTTTTCCCCATGAAAATCTTGTTTATAATGTGTTTTACCTGGTAGCAAACATGGCCCTCAGAGAAGAAAAGGTAGCAGCATCTTCTTTTAAAGCCTTCAGTTCATTGCGCAGCTTCATCATCGTCTCTGTAACCATGGCCTTTTCATTTTCATACTTGCTCTTCAAGTTGGCAAGGGCAACCTCTGCAGTCTTTTTGTTTATGAAAAAGAGCAGAAGAACATTTTCACAATGAACTAAATGTTAAATGAACTCATTGGCTAAAGTACTTTGCATATACAAAAGATCAAGGCTATGCCAGCAAGAGCAGACAGAAGTCTGCAGCATCCCAGATACAGGGATGACAGAGACTGAAGCCATAATCTATGCACAGTGTGAAATGAAATTGCTAAATGGGCTGCACTAGTTTCAAGCCTAGGTGAGTGATAATATCTTTTAAATTTTCTCCTATGAATGCTAAACCTGCAGTCTAAAGGTTTGCCCCACCATTTCAATAAGAATTCTTCCCCTTACCTCAGCAATCACCACCTCAATGTGATACATAGATCTTAAATTCTCTACTGACTGGGCAGAATGAAGAGCAAAAACAATAGTAGCATTGGAGTTCATTGGAGGTAAAAGAAGGAATGCTAATATTTTGACCCATATCCTTCACCACAATAAAGAAGCCACCACTTAGTACAGGGCTTTGACCAGAAGCATGATCAAAAGAAAGAAATAAAGTCCTGTGGTTAACTGGATTTTAGGTCCCAAATCTACCAGGAAGTAATTTCAATAGTCAGACCAGCCAACAGCAAGGATGGAGTTGAAGTTAAGGAGTTGCAAGATCACGCCCAGAAGTAGCTTGATAGAGGAATTTGATTCCAGGAGGGGGGATAAAGAGGCTATCAAAAAGTTGGCATTTACTGGAACAAAATTATTTGGTATGGCCTTATCCTAAATGGCTTTAATCTGATCTAGTAAGGCTCTTCTTACGAGTTAATGTGAGGGTTAATAAGCAGAATGGACTGAGCAGGCTTGTGGGAATAGCCTTTACATAACTGGAATAAGAAAATGGATTTGCTAAATCTTTAGTATTTATGATGCCAATCTCTGTAAAACTGTAGATCAGCAGTCCCTCCCATTTCCACCCCCAAAAAAGCAAACATGCTCACCTGTTTGTTGGCCTTAAGCACAGTTCTCAGAGTTGCTATCTGCTCCCTCTTGGTACTTAGCAGAGACTTCAGCTTCAGGATTTCCTCCATAAGAGCCTCTTTGTCCTTGTCCACTACTGGCCCAAGTTCCTGGGTAGTCACTCGCTGCCGAGAAAGCTCTGTTGTTCTATCTACCGCTGCCTGCAGATGCTTGATCTGATCACGGATTATGGCAATCAGGTTGTAAATGTTCATGGGTTCTTTTCGGGGATCGGATACTGGTGATGGGAGAGATGAAACTGGCGAAGGACTACTTTCCCCACTCCCATTATCTGATTTTCCCAAGTCTATAGATAATAAACCTTTAGAGAGCAGGATGGGTGATCTGTGGCCTTTGCCCTCTGGACTGGTGCGCCCCCCTTTGCCTTCTTTGTAGTAATCCAGCATTACCCTGTTTGGAGTTTCATTGTTGCACATGCAGACATGATGGTACAAGTTGGCCAGTTCCTCGCTGAAGGTGACCAGTTCATCCTGGGCTACAGTGAGGCTGCCTTGCGTTTCCCCAGCAACATCACTGACTTTCTTGAGTTCCTTCTCCAGGCGGACTACCTGTTCCCTATCTTGCCTACTAGATTTTTCCAATGAAGTGATCGTTTCTGTCAGAGCTTGCGTTTCTGTCTCATACCTGTTCTTCTCCTCTTCGTATTTGGAGCCACACTCTTCATATTTGACCTTAAGGCCTTTAAGCTCATCTTTCAAGTCACTAATCTCCGCTACAGCCACTTTATACTTGCATTCCAGAATCTCCGGGCCATTGATGTCAACTTCATAATAATCTCCATCCTCATGGCTGTCACGTTCCTTTTCATTGTCAAGAGCGGACTGGCGTTCCTTGCTGACCTGGAGCTTTTTCATAGCATTGAGATTCTCCGTGAGTCTACCAACTTTCTCATGCTGCTCAGAAAGTGCTCCCCGGGTGTTCTCCAATTGCTTCTGAGATTCTTGGAGTGTAGACAACAAGTTCATTTTTTCTCTTTCCATCTATAAAAGAGACAAGTTAAACATTCATCTTTCTAAACATCACTGTTTTCACAACTGCCATAAAGGATCTATGGCACTTTGGTAGAGCAAACATGCTTCATATGTATACATACAGAGGCAGCTGACATTTAGATCTAGGTTCTATGCAGACATATAAGTAAATGTATTCCATCAACACATGAAAAGAGCAGAGCAATAGCCTTATCTCCACTCTCCCTAGTTGAAATAGTGACAGGTTGAAATAAGCAGACCTTCCCGTATATTGGTATGCTTTATATGCAACTGTGAGTAGTTTTTAAAAATCAGTGTTCTGAATCACACAGACAGCATCCACATGTAGGTGAAGCTCTCCTATTAAATCTTTTTATTGTCTATACGAAGACAGAGACAGAAGAGATGGCAGAAGGATGAACCCATTCCCTTCTTCGTGAGAAGATTGAGCACACTTAGGAATAGAGTTTCAAAAGCTGACATCTCAGATAATTGACATTAGTTCTTGGCTAGTTGGGGTCTTCACTGATGCTTAACTGGGGCTGTTAATGCATTCAAATAATGAGTGCTGATTGTTTCATGCAGTTTACATTTGAATACCCCCAAACCGGTTCTGGATAGCAAGCAAATATTCCACGTAGGCATTTGCTTTGCACAGAGGGCTGCAGCAGTAAGGAAAGGAGAGAAGAATGTCTTTTTGCATTGGTGGAATAGCAGTATTGCCCAAATGCAAGACCAAATTTAAACTGAAACGCTGGTGTGTGAACCAAATTGTGATTTTTTGATCCTAAATTCTAAATATCTCCTCTGTGGCAAAGGTAACATGCCTGTTTTCAAGGTCAAAGAGAGAGGAAGAGGTTTGTTTTTTTGTAGACAAATTTCCAATATGTAAAAGGCCTCAGGGCCACATTCAAGAGACTAAGAATGAAAACAATTCTTGAAAAATAGAAAAGTGGAAGAGAAATAATCTATTTCAAATGTATACATTGCTGTACAATTTCTAAATATGATATCAGGACTATCCAAGGAATCCAGTTATTTTGGAACAAAAAGAACACTTCAAATTATCAGATTACTTATAATGTGTTGTGACTAAAACCATGCTGTTTAAAATAATTATAGACTGTGCAATAGGAGAAGGTGTCAGTCTAGATGAGTAAAAAAGTACCCCAGAAAAGTCTGGCACCCAAAGGAAACAGATGAATTAAATTCTCTCACTTATGCTCACTTTTTATGGCACCCCAAATTTTCCTTTTGGTTTTTTAAATTCATCTCTAAAACAGAATTAGTCTTATGACTAAGCCTCAGAAAGGTGTCACAAGATAAACTAAATAATACTTCAATATAGTATCCAACTGTAGCAATAAGTAACTCATGGTATTCAAACAGAATCTAAAAGTAACATACATTTTGGGAAATAGTTAATTTCATGTAGCTAATATAAAACATATTTAAGAAATATTTACCTGCATAAGTTGCTGTTTCAACTTCTGGATTTCAGATATATTCAGCTCACTTAAGAGATCAGACACAAGACTAGGGGCTGGAGGGAAGCCCTCATTTTTCTTAGGGGTTGATGCTTTATTATTGCCATTGATTTTGCTCAGGCAGTTCTGTTCAAAGCCATTCACTATTTCATCATTATTAGGCTCTGTGGTTTCATCACTGAACTTCAGTCCATCCAAAGAGATGTTCAAATGGCTGGTATACATAGAGTCGTTGATGTTCATATAATGAGACAACTCCTTCCGAAGGTTATTCTTCTGTTCACGTTCTGTTTTCAGGGTTTCTAAGGACTCTTCAAGTTGGCGTTCCGATATTTCTTTCAACCTGATTGCATCTTCTAGTTGGCTGTTGAGGAATTCAGTAACTTCTTCAAGCCTCTTGATTTCATGTTTCAGCCCTTCAAATTCCACCTGTGACAGAAACAGAATCACTAGAATCCTTGACATGCAAAGGCGAAATAAGGGTTAATAATGAATGTGACACAAAGAACGTCAATGAGTTCTTTATGTGAGAAGCTGAAAGCTAATATGAACTCTTTTATCCAGGAAAGTTTAAAGTTTTCTCATCTTGATTTTCCTCTTAAGATGGCAATACTGTAAGATGCTGTACACTTCAATATACACACAATGAACCCTTAACCTGGATTGAAGTTACCATTGTTGTTGATGTTGCAGGTGTTAGTTGGCATATATAATTTTTCAACATCAGACAGATATCAAATTTGAGGTTAATATTTATTCCTTCCCCAAAAGCATGGAACCTGTATAACGAATAAAACTGACACGTGTTTAGTCAAATATGAAAGTAATCCATCACTATAGGCTTGCCAACTGAAATATTTCAGTTATATCTGATGAAAACCTATGCCATATTAGGTCTGTAAGGTTGCCTAGTCAGTGATGTATCCACTGCAAGAGACTAATACAACTCCTCTTCTGCAAAACTCATCTTGCATTGCTGAGCAAAGCAAGCCAAGAGCATGTTAATTTTTTAAAAAAAGGGACGAACCCCACAACATCAAAGACAGGCATTATTATGAAGGAAAGAAAACAAACAAAATCATAGGATTTTGAGGACTGAAATCTGTGGCATCAGAGGCAAACTACAAGCTGTCCACATACCCAACTAATGTGATGTGAAGACAAAAGGTATATCTATCTACACTGTAGAATTAATGCAGGCCGACACCACTTTAACCACCATGACTCAATGCTATTGAAACCTGAGATATAAAATTTGCTGATGCACCATAACACTTTGGTAGAGACAGCAAAAGACCTTGCAAAACTACAACTCTAGTGATTCCACAGAATTAAGCCATAGCAGTTAAAGTGGTGTCTAACTGCGTTGTTTCTAGATGTACCCAAGGATGCTCCAACCCTTACCTGATTCTGCTTCAGAACAGATACTTGTTTTTGCAGGCAGATGTTCTCCTCTTCAAGTTCAGTATAATCTTGGAGCAAACGAGCCTCTCGGAATTTATATTCTTTTATATCATCTCGCAAACGACCCCTCTGGATTTCCACATTCTGATTTATCTGCAAAAATACAAAATAATTTATTTTAATTAATCTGTTTTACAATCATTGATTTCAAAAGATCAAGCCCACACTTGAGGACTTTTCTTAACTGGAGCAAAGCAGAACTAGGATGGATGGCAGAAAGAACTTGAAGACCTGGCTGTTCCGATGTGCCTTCTCAGATTAGGAACCTCCAATACCAAGTCCTAGAAGCACTTTAGTAGAACTAAGATTACTGCACACCGCACACTGCACTTACTTTATAATCCTACATACCTCCTGCCACATCAGCACTTTTAATCTTGTACCCATTACTCTGGCCTGGCCCAGTTTTATAGTGTCTTGATGTATTGTTTATGTTGTTTATTCTGCTTAACTGTTTTTAATTTGCTTTAGGTATTGTATTGTTGTATTGTGTTTTGAGGCCTTGGCCTGTGTAAGCCGCATCGAATCCCTTGGGGAGATGCTAGCGGGGTACAAATAAAGTAATAATAATAATAATAATAATAATAATAATAATAATATGTTTTGGAAGTGAGCAGGATTTGTTCGCCATTTCTAAAAAGGAAAAAATGAATGGAGGAGATGCACCCCCCCCCCCCCCAAGGTTAAAAAGCAGACTAGATGAACATGTATAAGGCACTATTCATCTACAGATATGGGTCAATGATCAATAATGCTACAATAAATGTTCTTCCGCTCTTGTTAAATCTTACAATCACTGGAAGGTGAGAAAAAATCAGAAAATAAAGTTGTTATATCATTTCAATCAGAAAGAAACAGCCAAATATGCTTGTAACTGCACACTTTGCAACAGCTAATCCCAGTAGTCTGAGAAGGAAAGGAATTAAAACGGAGAAACATTTTCCATTGGATTAGCAGCCAAAGCATTTGTCACAATTCCTGTGCCCTGTCTAAATCAATTGCTCAGCAAACATATGCTATAAATCCCAGGTTTATATAAAATATAGGCCTAACAACTGAAATGAAATGTGATGTAGGAATCTGCTTTGCCAATGCAAGAATCGAAAATAATGGCCTACACAGGCTTTATGTGTAGCCTAGCAGGGTATATACAAATACCGGGCGTTGCAGGGTATATTCCAGAGGAAGAAATTGGCAAACCCACCTCTGAGCATTCCTTGCCATTTTCATTATGTCAACAGTTGACTTGAAACCACACCTACACACACCACCATTCTACTCCAGAATGGATTTCCAACGTGGTACACATTCATAGACAAAAATATAGCAATATCCCAAGTATAAAACAGACAAATAAAATTTGATCTTCACCCACCCCTCCTCTTTTTTATGTATGGATTATCATGACAATCTTGATAAGATAACATAGCACAGCTCTCAAGTATGTCTTAATAAGAAAGGAAAGGATACAATGAAAGCATGTTTGTTTGCAAGGCAGAGTGGGCCAAAGTCTTTTGTCATTCAGTGCAGTAAGCAGAATCACCTGAACAGCAAATCCAATAAAGCCAATAACAGCTGTCACTCAGGCACAGATTAAACTATACAAGTCCATGTTGCTTGCCCCAAGCAAGTTGAAAACAGAGGATCACAATGTGAATTATCATAGATCAAGCAACAAGCCATGTAATATATACTGTTAATGAAAGGGAAGTGTAATCTGAATCATATCTTGAAGGGTCTTAAAGATAACAAACTTGTAGTCCAACTGAGATTTTTAATATGTGGAGTTCGTACAAATTGCACACTTGACTAGCACAGGGTGAGCAACAGTGGTCCCTCTAGATATTTTTGGACTATAGCTCCCACAATCCTTCACCATTATGCTGGCTAAGGCAAATTGAAGTTGGAGGCCAGAAGCATCACAAGATCTCAGTTGAACAAGGGCATTACTGCAGATCTAACCAAATCTAACAAAACTCTGGTTGCTTTTTCATTGCAAGGTATAGTAAACCTGTAATGGAAGAAGGACAGGAAAAATTATCAATAGCATAATACTAAGTAGCTTAAGATTGGATCTCATTTTATATTTCTCTCAGTTATTACCCACTAGGTGATCCTGGGCAAGTCATATTTGATATTTGCTCAGCCTCTGAAGGCAAAGGCAAAACTCCACTGAACACACATTATTAATCTCAGGGTCACCATAGATTGAAAATAACCTGAAGGTGTATAACTACAAATCCATCCTTTTACATCTGTGGTGGCCAATGGCTTCCCTATCAGTAGGATGAGAGATCTGTGCTGGGTCTTTGTGTGGGCGATCCAACATGCTGAAACTATTGTGGAGAAAAGGTTCAGCACACAAGTCAGTTCCTTTAAAGTCTGGAGTGGATTTACCACTCTGCTGACATGCAATCCACCAGCCATCACTGTTTTTTTGAAATAATCTTTATTAGATATTTTCATAATACATGATAATATTAAATAGTAGCAAGTTTAAAATCAAGTATAGGGAAAGAGAAAAGTAGCGAAGAGAGAGAAAAAGAGGGAAAAATATGATATAGCAAGAGAGAAAATAAACAAGAATAACAGAGTAAAGTGAATATAGTAAGAAATAGATTGTGAAACAAGAAAAATGAAAGAGGAGGAGAGAAAGAAGGAAAGAGAAAGGGGGGAATAAGATTATGTCTTCGGTCCTACTTCTGGGTTGCTTCAAGGAGGGATTCTTCCTTTTCTTTCTTTTGTGACAGACACCAGAGAGAAAATATAAGAACAATTATCGATCTGATAAAAGCAGGGGTCCCCAAAGTTTTTGAACAGAGGGCTGGGTCACAGTCCCGCAAACTGTTGGGGGGCCGGATTATAATTTGAAAAAAAAACATGAATGAATTCCTATGCACTCTGCACATATATTATTTGCAGTGCAAACCCCCTCCCCCCCAAAAAATAAAAAAGAAGACCCACACTTCTATATAAATAAAAATGTAATGTTTGTTTGTGGGATTAACAGAACTCAAAAACCACTGGACGAATTGACACCAAATTTGGACACAAGACACCTAACAACCCAATGTATGTCCTTCACTCAAAAAAATGATTTTGTCATTTGGGAGTTGTAGTTGCTGGGATTTATAGTTCACCTACAATCAAAGAGTATTCTGAACCCCACCAACGATGGAATTGAACCAAACTTGGCACACATTTCTCCCATGACCAACTGAAAATAGTGGAAGGGTTTGGTGGGCAGTGTCCTTTGGTTTTGGAGTTGTAGTTCACCTACATTCAGAGATCATTGTGGACACAAACAATGATGGATCGGGATCAAACTTGGCACAAATACTCAATATGCCCAAATGTGAACACTGGTGGAGTTTGGGGGAAAATAGAATCTTGACATTTGGGAGTTGTAGTTGCTGGGATTTATAGTTCACCTACAATCAAAGAGCATTCTGAACCCCACCAACGATGGAATTGAACCAAACTTGGCACACAGTTCTCCCATGACCAACAGAAAATACTGGAAGGGTTGGGTGGGCAGTGTCCTTTGGTTTTGGAGTTGTAGTTCACCTGCCTCCATCAATCACTGTGGAACTCAATGATAGATCTGGACCAAACTTGGCACTGATATTCCATATGCCCAAATGTGAACACTTGTGGAGTATGGGGGAAATAGAACCTTGACGTTTGGGAGTTGTAGTTGCTGGGATTTATAGTTCACCTACAATCAAAGAGCATTCTGAACCCATCAAACTTGGCACACAGTTCTCCCATGACCAACGGAAAATACTGGAAGGGTTTGGTGGGCAGTGTCCTTTGGTTTTGGAGTTGTAGTTTACCTGCCTCCTTGGAGACCAGAGCGGCCGGAGCAGAGGGTTCCAGCGATGGTCGGAGCGGCGCCGGGTGGGCGTGGCCAGAGAACGCCAGCGTTCCCACCTGCCGCCGCTGGCCACGGCCACCCGCCGCCGCTCTGGCCTTCGCAGGAACCCTCTGCTCCAGCCGCTCTGGTCTCCAAGGAGGCAGGTAAACTACAAAAGGCTTCTCCCTCCCACACGAGCATAAGGGCCGGAGCAGAGGGTTCCCGCGATGGGCGGAGCAGCGCCGGGTGGTCATGGCCAGGCCAGGCCAGGCCACACGGGCCGGAGAAATGCCCTTGACGGGCCGCATATGGCCCGCGGGCCGTAGTTTGGATAAAAAACTATGAAAGAAATATCCAAAAAGAAGTAATGTTTTTGGCCCTGGACACAGAGAAAGCATTTGATAATGTTAACTGGGATTTTTTCAAACTGCTAATGAAAGAGATAGATATAGGATATTATTTCCAAAACGCAATTGAGGCAATTTACAAAAATCAGCAAGCAAAAATAATAATTAACGGACAAGAAAGCAAAACAATTGAGATAAGGAAAGTAACAAGACAAGGGTGCCCCCTATCACCGTTGATATTTATATTAACACTTGAAGTATTATTGAATAAAATAAGAGGAGAAAAGGAATTAAAGGGCACAATAATAAATGATCAATCGTATAAATGCAGGACTTTCGCTGATGATATAATTTGAATAATTGAAGAGCCAAATAAAAAACTAAATAATTGGTTGGAAACAATAAATGAATTTGGGGAGGTAGCAGGATTCAAATTAAATATGGAAAAAACAAAAGCAATTACAAAAAAACATCAGAAAGAAAAAGTTACAATTACTAAAAGAATAATGGAATATTCAGATTGTTTCCAAGATAAAATATCTTGATATTATCATCACTCCAAAGAATGCTGAACTGTTACAAAATAACTATGGGGAAAAGTGGAAAGAGATTAAAAATGATTTGGAAAAATGGAAAAATTTAAAGCTATCCTTTTTGGGCAGGATCGCGAGTATAAAAATGAATATATTACCACAGATGATCTTTCTGTTTCAAAACTTACCAATAATAAGGAACCAAAAAAAACTAAAGGAATGGAACAAAGACATTAAAAAGTACATTTGGCAAGGGGAAAAGCCAAGGATAAAATTTAAAAACATGACAGATGAGAAAAGGAGGGGAGGACTAGCCATGCTGGATCTAAATTTATATTTCAAAGCTTGTGCCCTAAC